GATTGAATTATGCTTTGTGTAGAATACAGTATAAGTTTTGCTAGAGAATTCGTGTCCCTTACAATGATAACTGAGATCACTATTTATAGTTATGTTTAGGGAAGGAGGTCCTAGGATCATGTCCTCCTTTAATGTCAATTATGAGGGTCATTGATGAAGACGTAACGATGAACATAAATGTCATTCTCTGTAACGGACCGTCGCTCTTAATACTGCAAAATATCTCCTATTAAATGCTACCAAATGCAGAGCATTTAACACGCCTTTATGATCATTATCCTTTCCGGTGACAAGCGGAATAACTGCTTTCGATCTTCGGTTATCCCGTTTTGGATTTCACGTGTCCGACGACCTCATTTTTCATCCTATACAGTAGCACCACCGAGAGTACTATCGATCAATAGGCAGATAACAACGTAATCATTCTTGTTTTCCTTTTGTTACTTAAAGTGAGGACATAATCCGGATAAAAGCCTCCTCTTACACTATGCCTTTTCAAATAAAAGAACTTTTGGGATCACATATTTGGGTTTACACTAAGCTTTTTTAGATTAAAGTTTATACATGAGCATGCATGTATGTGTTTGAAACATGGAAAATCCCTTAAAAGAATATAATTTCAAATGGTGATTTTAGCCGTTAGCTGTGAAAAAACAAATGCGTAGTTATGTCAAAGTGCGATAACTATAGCAGTGACTTTTATAAGATGCAAGTTAAATAGTAGTACTAATTTTTATACCATCAGACATATATAGAACCTAAACCTTTTTTTTTAGTTAGCTACTAAATTAAAACACATTTTGCAATCCCTCAACAAAGGGCGGATGTAGTATTAAAGTGACGGGTTCAGTTGAACCATAATTTTCGAGACGAAGTATACATTTAAGTATAAAAATTTATTAAATTTATAAATAAAAATATAGTAAATATGAACTATAACTTTAAAAATTTAATAAGTTCAATTCTAAAAATCTTAAATGTTGAACTCATAGAATTTAAATCGTGAATCCGCTACTCTAATGGTTGTACACATATTTATCTAAATTAAATATAAACTCTAGATATAGCTTTTTTAGGTTTGAAAAATGGACAGAAACTTTTGTAACTTTCGAAGCAACTTTTGCTTCTGTACCCAAAGTCCTCTTCTTAACTTTAGATGAAATGCAGAAATTGCAAAAGCTTCTTTAAGCCCGTGCGGACTCACAGTACATAAAATTTGAAAACTTGTATTTATAAACAAATGAAAGATACAGAAACTTACATAGAATAGTTTGAATCCTTCTCTCAGTAGCCTTTCTGTCTATATTTACCTTTTGCATGTATTATGCTATGTGAGGAGTGACTTAATTAAAGCTAGCTGAAGATAGTGTCAGAGCAAAACCTATAAGATTCTGAGGTAGAAAATACATTAGAAACTGAAAACTTGTCCTAAAAGGGTATCTTCTTTTGGTCCTGTAGCTAGAGATTGATTAAAAAAATGTCAGCGAGTTAGTACTAATAGGTGTGAGGCCCTTTTCCTGTAGATACAAATTACAAATCAGTTACTAACTTACTATAGTAGTAATGAAATTTAATACCTAACAAGAGTTTGGTCAGTGGCGTAGGCGCATAAAGTGAAGGTAAAGGTGTTTAATGGGCCAGGTTGATCCGGTTTCGGACCGACCCAGATCGATATTAATCTGGACCGGCCATGACCGGTAGTAGGGGGCCGGATAGGGCTGGGTTTGTGGGTTAGGGGGTTGGTTCGTTTTTTTTTTTCCGGTTAACCGGATCGGTCAAAACCAGTATACTAAAATTACTGTTGAACCGATTAACCGGCCCGGTTCAACTGCTAATTTCTGATTTTTTAAAAATCATTTGACCATTGGCAATATTCAGTTTCCAATTTGACCGTTGCCCAACGGATATTTTGCAAGAATAGCCCTTTTTTGGGCAATTTTTTTTTAAAAAATAACACTTTTAGTAATTACTAATTTAGCTCTTTGAAAAATTAAGACTGCATTTGAAACCACCAATAGACGAAATTTTTCCTGTTAGATGTGCATGCCATGTTTATAATTTAATCATTAAAAGTGGCCTTGATTTATTTTCGAGTGAGATTACTCATGTTAGAAGAGAAGTGAGTGTTATTCAAGGAAATAATAGACAATCTAGAATTAGGGAATTTAAGACTAAGTGTACGGAGCATAACCTTAAACTTAGATTCATACCAGATGAAATTGTTACTAGATGAAATTATACATACTTATTTTGAAAATGTTGCTACAAATATAGATTGCCGATAACTGAAGTTGCTAATGCACATTGTATTGATCCAAATTGTATGTTAACAACTAATACTTGGGAGACCATTAATGATGTTGTTCAATTTTTACATAAATTTTATACAGCTACTGTTGAGTTTTCTAGAGCATATTACCCTACTGTTACTATGGCTTTAGTACATATAACTGAAATTTCTTTTCTACTCTCTAAATTTAAGAAGAAAGAAAAATATAAGGATGCTGTTGAAAAAATGCAAGCCAAATTTAAAAAATATTTTTTTTCGATTCCTCCGATTTACTTAGTTGGTGTTGTTTTAAATCCTTCTATAAAGATGTCTAATTGTCACCAATTAATCAATATTTTATATAGTTATATGGAGATTGGACCAACTGAAACCCTGTATATATATATATTTATATATTATTGTATGAACAAGCTAAATGATTATTTACAACAATTATATAATTATTATACAAATATAATTGATGCTGCTGCTATTAATATAGGCAATGTTAATCCCACTATGCATTGTACTACTGCTACTACATCTGCTAATATGGATGAAGATGAAGGCCTTGATGATTATAATATTTGGGCTATATTTCCTTCCACTCAAACCAGTAGCAGGAACATTGATGAACTTCAATTCTACTTGCAAAAGCAATCAGAGCCTCGCACTAAGGAATTTTCACCGTTGGGATGGTGGCATGAGAATGAAAAGCAATTTCATGTTCTTTTCGCTATGGCTCGGAACGTCCTGAATGTGCCAATTTCAACTGTTGCATCAGAGAGTGCATTTAGTCAAGCAAGACAACTACTAGGAGACACCCGTCACTCATTGGGAAGCAATGCTTTGGAAGTTTTAGTATGTTTCAGAGATTGGATTAGATCAGAACGAAGAAATCACGGACGTGAAGATGTCGATAGACCAGAACACGAGGAACTTAGAGATATATTAACACATGGTCACCCATCTGAATTTAACACTCCAGAAGATGGCCAAGAAGTTCATATTCATTATGAAGAACTTACTAAGGTAATGCAAAACCTTTGAAGTTCTAGATTTATATTTAATAATTTAACTTTGAATTTACTCTTTTTTTGTTAATTTAGTTGTTGTTAAATATAAACTTTAATTTGCAAGTTTGAAATAAGAATTATAAGTACAATTTTTTTCCATCTTCATTGTATTCTATTATCTTAAATTCTTAATGAAATATTCAAATATTAGAATTTTAAGGCCTTTGAATCCTTTATTCAAATACTCTTTTTATAAGATTATTTTTTTTGTTTTATATCTTTACTTTATATTAATATAAATTACGATAGTAATACAAAATACAAAAGAAAATACATAAACCCAGCTCGGCCCGACCCCATAGGCCCGGAATTATTCCGGTTCAATTTTTCACCGGATGGACCCAGACTCGTTAAGCCCTGTTTGTACAACCCAAAAATCGGCCCGGATTGGTGACGAGTTGGTCACTATTTTTGCCAACCCGGCCTGGCCCGGCCCACCACCCCTTTGTCACCTTTAAGTGAAGGGTGTTCAACACTCTTCATCGGATATATTTACTATGCTATATAGAAAGTTATACTATGTATATATGTAAAAATTATTTTTTATACATATATATATTAAACATTGAACACCCTTCATGAAAATTTTGACTTCGTCACTGGTTGTAGTAGAGTGATAAGTACTCCTTCATTCTTAACAAGCGATTTCAAATTCAAGCCTTAGTATGAAGTCGTTTTTCTTAGATAGACACTTCTTACCTACTAATTTAGTCTGGTAACAATGTTTCTTAAAGAAAATTTTCTGTTATATCCGTGCATACTATACCATGTAGGTTTTTAATTCATCTTTATGGGTATAAAAAACTGTTGCTTCACTGCTTTGGTGAATTAATAATGCCCTTTCCCTTGGAAGTCCTATACAAATTACCAGTACCTAATTTAATACATGTAGTCATAATGTACACCTTCAATACTAGAAATGAAAGGTGATGTTATCATAGCATAAATTTTTTATATAAGCATTTATTCGTATATACTCCATCCGTTCTTATATATGTGAATTTAAATAATAGGTATGAAGTTTGAGACTTTTAAAATTATTGATCTTAAGTATTTTATAATATTTATATGGCTACAAAAGCTTCTCTTAATCCCACGTCAACAATAAAGGAGATGAGTGGTTTTCTTACATAGACTTGGCAATCCTTAACTCATGAACAAACTTTTGAGATTAAGTTAAATGAGTGATTTTCTTACATAGACTTGGCAATCCTTAACTCATAAACTAACTTTTGAGATTAAGTTAAATCTATGGTCCATTTCTTTAACATGGTATTAGAGCATGACCAATATATCCCAATTTTCTGATATTCGTCCCCCACAATTGTCCACGCTTCAAATGTCTGTGAGAGGGGGTGGTCTCCTGGACTTGAGCAATCTTAACCTCATGAGCTAGCTTCTGAGGTTAAATTAGACCCAATGTCCATTTCTTCCACACTCATAAGAATTAAATGAGAAGGCGAACTAATAAAGACATAGTGTACACATAAACAAAAATATAGAAAAGAAACCAAGAGGTAGTATATTGAAATATTAAATAGGTGATCATATACTAGAGCAAAGAATCAAATTAAAATTTCGCCGAAGGTGCGTTTGTTTTGGCGTATGACTTTTACCTCCATTACCAGCAGACAACACGTACTAATCCATTCATGTACAAGAGCACGTCTTAGTCAGACAGATTATATTGTTACAAGATTGGATTTTGTACCTTTATTTGTTTTCTTCATTCCACATTCAAACTATTGGCTCAAATTCGATAACTCTAATTAACCATGGAGAAACGACTTTATGAATTTTTTACTATAATACACATATCATAACTATGAGAAAAGAAAATAATAAATTCATATTTACTTTAGCCTTAGAAGGGCAGCTTTGCATAACTAGTAAACCTCCAGGTCGTTTTAGCCGTGAAAATAGCCAGAAATGAGGGCGTACAATAGTTAGTTGTGGTCCGAACCTTTTTCGGACCCCACACAACCTGAGTTTTATGTATCGGGCTGACCTTTTATATTTACTTCAGCCGAATATCAGTAATGTCAAACCAAATTTGTTTGAACACCTTAATGATAAGATCATGATACTCATCTGAATTCAAAGAAAGATAACAAGCAAGAAGTTCTTCCAAATCTTTTGAAGTCCTTATATTATTTTCCACTATCATCTCCACCATTGACTCTCTAAAATCTTTCTGTGGATTTTTAGATGATTTCACCACAGCAAAACTTTCTGAAACACTACTACTACTCCTCCTCGAACTAACACTCCTTCTGCTAACTGCTTGAATTTTCTTGCTGTTTGTTATTTTTGGAGAGTTTGTTCTCAGCTTCACACCAGTTGTTGAACTCACTGACACTCTTCTCACAGTAGAAATCCTCTGTTTTTCATCCTTTTCTTGTGACGAAACGATGAATTTTTCGGGCTTGGTTATGATAGGGGGAAGGTCAATTTTGGAAATATGATTGAGTGAGTCTTTGTTCATATCATTAACTCTGCAATCACAAGATGGTGAAAGTGAAATTTTGGGGTCTAATGTTTCAAAAGAAGAAGATGAGGAGGAATTAGGTGAATTTGGGTAAACTTCAGGGGTGGAATCTGGTTTAATCCAAACTGATTCAAGAGAAGCACGACAACTGCAACTAGCTGAAACAGAGGAAGTAACAATTTTAGGAGAATTAGTTCTTTTCCTTGTAGTGCTACGCCTTCTCTTTGAAAAATTAATATTATTGTCAGAGAGTTTTGGGTTGTTTGAGGAAGGATTTTGGGAGAATATTTCATGGTTGTTATTTGTTGGACTGAGGTTTCTTGAAATGTAATATGATTTTCTTTGGTAAGTAGTGAGGTGGGGTTGTCTTATTTTTTTGTCTGATTGAAGATTTGATGATGAGAATGATGATGTTGAAGAAATTGAGGTGGTGTGGTTATGCCCTTTGCTTCTGTTGCTGCTGATTTTGCTCATGTCCTTGAGCTTGTAAAACCAAGCATTTGGCATCATATCTGATAATCTAAACCTATAATTTCCCATGTTGAGTAACAAGAGTTGCTTGTGTTTGTGTTTTCTCTCTGTATTTTGAGGGGTGATGACTAAAGAAGTGGGAAATATTGGAGTTAGTAAAGGTAGATAAATAGAGAGGAGGAAAGGGGATTAAAGGTAGGGGTGATGGGACCAGGAGGAAGAAAAATGAGTCATAAAGTAAATAAAGGCAAGTTACACATTTGCCCTATTTCGAATATATGTGTAAATCGGAGAAATGTATATTTTTAACTATTCTTAAATATAATAGGCGATAATATATATATATATATATATATATATATATATATATATATATATATGTGTGTGTATTATATATAAAAAAAATATATGCATATTTTATATACTTTTAGTCTAGCGAATGCAATTTGTTTTATCCAGTAGGCCAGTTTTATATTTCATCCAAAAAAAACAAAAAGGATAAAGTTATCGCTTTTCCAAGTTGGTATTTCATTTAAGCCTAATGGCCTAATCATCATCATCATCATAAAGTTAAAGAAATTGCATTCCATTATCATTATGTTTGACAGTTTGAGTTTTTAATATAGCAAAACAGTAGCATTTACTGACTTATGTGACTCTCATACTCCTATTATGCTGACTTTCCAGGCCATGAGATGATGCTCAAATTGACATAAAAAGATTGTGATTCTCTTGCCCTATTTGAGGGTTAGAAACTCGATAAATTATGAACAGTGTTTTTAAAAAGCATGAGCATAAAAATAAAAAATTGAGAAAACCATGAATTAGGGCTTAAATCAATAAAAAAAAAGTCTTTACTTTTAAATTTAATACTTTTGACTTTTTGAGTTCCTTTTTAATTTTTTTGAGTAATTAACAAACTCACTTTTGAGAATTTGAGTATTATATGAAGGACTAATTCAACAAATTTTGTTTTAATTTGAAAACGTCTCTGGGGCTTACTCCTTACTAAAAAAACGCGTCTCGAACGCCCGGGCCAAATTGCAGAGCGTACGCCTCTTGAGACTTTCGCCCCACACCATCGTCCTGGGGCGTTTTTGGTACGCCTCACCCAGGAACTCGCCCCAAAAACGCCTTTTAAAACAGAGATTATGTATTTGACATTGATAATCTCTAATCAGTGTAAAAACTCTGCACTTGGCGCATTCCTCTAGGATATTGATAAAGAGGCCGTTTTCTCATTGCATCAATAACCACTGACTTTAAAGGATTCATTTCGGTCGTAAATAAGTTATACATTGAATTATAATACGGGAATTAAATAATGAGAAAATTGTTTTATGGATATACTTTTATCTCTATATGTTTGGTTGATTTAATTGGGGTATGGTAGACAGTCTACCCTAATGCAGATATTAGTGACTGTTTCTACGGCTCGAATTCATAACTTATAGGTTACACGAAAATAACTTTACCGTTGCTCCAAAGGGGTATATGAAATATACAGGGTGTAAATATAAGTATTAAAAATCTTTCAGATGTATATAGCAATATTATACGAAGATAAGTTTAAATGGAGCCAGGGGTGGCTCAATAAATATGGAGGCTTAAAGCAAAATCTCAATAAAGGGCCTTTTTTTATATAAAAGGAAAAATTCATATATAATTTCATTTAAATTCTGTATTTCTAGTTTTTCATATGCAAAGTTATTAATAATTTTATCTAATCCATTTAATTTCTCTTGAGATATACACGTTGTGGGACTGTATTAAGGTTTTAACCTTTATTGAGTTATGAATTAATAATCGAATCCTTTCTCAATTTATGGTCTAGAGAGTAATTCCCAAAAAGATATTTTTTCTCAATTTATGATTAACAATTTAATCCTACTTTTTTTACTATGAAAAATTGTACTTTCTCATTTGAAACACTAAATATTATTCTAAAAATAAATTAATATATAACCTGTTAGAAAAATTTGGGGCCCCAAAAATTATGAGGCCCAAAGCATCTGCTTTAGCAGCCTTACCCTTGGGCCGGCACTGAATGGAGCGACATGAACTACGAAAATTTATACTAGACACCCCAACTACCTTGAGATTGAACTATCGATTCGACTATATTTAAAATATTCGACTATATACTTTAAGAAAATATATAATTTTCCGAATAGGGAGGAATTTAGCTCAACAAAAGCCCCTTTTTTCAAAGTATCAATAGCTCTGCCTAATATAACTAGATGTGGAGAAAGAAGAAAAGTAGTAGTAGTAGTTTTATTTGCAACTTCTTGTTAAATACACTTTCGTTACAAGCCATGTTAAAGTTAGTTCCTCATATTGGATAAGGCTAATTTTAATTCAATGGTTAACATGATATGAAGTCTGGAATATTCTGATCAATTATAGAAGAATATAATGGTATTGATTGTTTTTTCTTTTGTTTGCAACTTGAGTCGCAGATGTATAGACTATAGACTGAACTAGATTTGTCAGGATTACATTTAATTTGTCAGTCTTGTAAAATATGGGAAATATTTCTTTACGTAACTTTTTCCACAAAATATTTTTTTTCCTTAACTTTTTCCTGAAAATATTAGAGTTGAAAAGTTATGCAAAAATTCTCAAAAGAGGCGAAAGTGGGAGAAGGGGGAGGAAAGAAAGGATACCAGAAAACTATGAGCATAATCATGACTTAAATTGGGCGTTTCATGTGTTCTCTTTCTCACCTTTAAGTGTTAAACTCTTGTAATAACACTTGCATTAGATTTTGTAAAGTAGGTCGGTATAATTGGGGAAAAAGAAAAAGGAGAACTTTCAATGTTGGTCCCTAGGATATTGATAAATTTCAATTTTTGTTCTCATGTCATTAAAAAACATTTGAGAATATTTAGATGGATATGTGGTATGTCACGAGAGATAAGATTAGGAAAGAAGATATACGGGACAAGGCGGGAGTGACCTCCGTAGTAGACAAGATACGAAAAGCGAGTATGAGATAGTTTGGGCATTTGAAGAGGAGGAGCACAAATGCCCTAGTGAGGAGGTGCAAGAGGTTGGCAATGTTAGATCTAAGGCGAGGTAGAGGTAGACCGAGCTAGGAAGAGTTGAGGAGAGGTGATTAATTAGACAGAACATGACACATCTCCAGCTCACTAAGACTATGACCCTAGATAGGAGAGCATGAAGGTTGAGGATAAGGGTAGAATATTAGTAGGTACTTGAGCAACTTCTCTCTTTTATGTAAAAGAATATAGTTCTAGTTTAGACTTTAGAGCACATCCCCTGCCCTCTCTTCTCCTAACCAGTATCAATATTATTATTCTATTATGTATCTTATTCATCAATTTTATCTCTACTTTTTCTTTTATCTTTACTATTTTTGCTGTTAATAATTTTCTTTCCCTGGTATTTTTATCATAGTTTATTTTTCTCTTCTTCTTTTTTTCAAATATGTTTTGAAAATACTTTTTTTGAGCTGAGGGTTATGTCGAAAATAATCTCTCTATCTTACACAAACACAAGACAAGAATAAAGTTTGCATACACCCTACTTCTTCATACCTCATTTCTGAGATCACACTAGAGATGATGTTGTTGTTATGTGCTTTCAATTGATGAAATTTGCATGAATTTATTAGTAGATTGATCAAAAGAATAAATTCTGCGAATAGGAAGTCTAACGTACATAGTTGGCCACAATAAGAACCAAATGTACAATTCATGCATAATTCAGGGACCAAGCACAATTAGCAAAAAGTGATAATCCTAATGGGTAGAGGGAGGATCAATTTATAAAAATTCGATTGATCTGGTATATCTATTAAGTAACCGATCAAACGGACTAGTTCTGCGCTTTAGTAAATACGGAGTATTAATTATTGACCTTAAGCTTATTGGATTACACATATAATTAGGAAAATCTAACAAAATCTGCATGAACTTATTGCAATAGATGCATCAAAAGGTCACCTTTCTACATAGATTTTTCTGAAAAACTTCGTTTGACTAGTTGTCGGAGAAGTGTAGCTGAAGATCGATGTATGCATATATAGAACCTATGTACAAATTATAAACGTAGAGAAAAAGAACCAATTACATAGTAACTTCTTTTTGAGCATTAATTTCTGCATACTCATGGATATAAAACTTCTTTTGTGTTTTTCACGCAAAAAAGAAATGGCAGGTCTCACATGAAATTAAAAAAGGACCTTTGCTAATTTTGTACAATTGCTCTTAAACTTTAGAGGGGGCCAAACATCACATAGATAAAAAGGGGCAGTTCAGTGCGCGAAACATTCTCGTTTACATAGGATCCGCATTAAGGCCGTATCCCAAAAGAGTATGACTTACGTAGATTTGCCCTGGCGCAAGCATCAATAATTGATTCTACGCCTCGAACCCGTGACCTTACGTTGCTTTAAAGCTCCCCTCACCAAACATCAAATAGACAATTAGATATATACTAGTTTTAGGGTACGCGCTTTGCGCGTGTTCCTTGTGTCAATAAGTAAATTATTTTCAAGAAATCACATAAGTAATATTAAACGATGTGTTTGAGTTGTTAAATTAAAATAAAAAGTATAACTTTGTAATATATGTTCATAGACTCTATTTAGCTAGCTCTATAAAGGATAAAATCCTGCCACATGAAAGTCCTCAGTGTTTTATAAATACCTTTTGAAAATTATCGAAAACAAATAATTCCAAAATATACTTTTATCGTGATAATTTGTCAAATAATACAAATTGATTAATTAAAGTTTTTGGTCTTTTATAGATATAAGAATTATGGGTTGGCCTATAGCTCCTAAAAAAATTAATAAGAGTGACAATATAAATTCTAAAAATGACTTAATGTTGAGTTAGTATTTTATAACAAATAACTTAATGTATAAAAAATATAGGGGGATGTTATTTTGGAATATTTACGAAAAAGAAAACAAATTAATGGCAACTCATTTGTAATACATGTTATACATTTTTCTCTCGCATTATTGTAAATTTTGGCCTTTAAAATTTTCATACTACACATAACTTTTAGATGGTCAAAATGAATTAAAGTTATAGATAGTTAAAACATGGACTACACTTTTATGATAGAAGTAATTTAAAAAAAAAAAATTATATAAATTCACGTACATAATATTTAATTTGGAAGAAATGTGTATGGAACTTTTGCTTTATCAAATATATGTGTGCGCCTAATTTGTATGCCTATATACAATAAGCAAATATATTATACGAATTGTTTGA